GGGGGGGGGGGGGGGGGGGGGGGGGGGGATTTGACGGGCGCTGACTCTACTAGTACTAGAGAGAACGGAATATGCGAGGCAGCACATATGGGAGAACATGGAAGGAACTTTTCCTGTTGGGTCACGGCACACTGGCAATGACATTGGGCACAGTTAGATTTTGGGTCCGCCAAGAACCAAGGCTTTGTGTGGGGATGCATTTTCGACAGCTCAATGGGCACGGTGGTAGTGTGAGTTCTGTCTTGGCAAGCAAGTTGAGCAAGGGCAGTCTAGGTGGAGGCAGACGCAGAGGCTGAGTCATCTACCTGGGTGTGATGAAACCACCGCCAAAATGGATTGCAATTAGGCGGGTAGACACAAGATGCTTTAGCAACCAAGGTTCCCTCTCGTCTACGCCATTGTATGCATTAACCCGGTTGTCTGATGGAATGCTACGGTGTGCTCCCGGGTTGATGTTTCTGGTGGAATTCCCGTGCTAGTAGGGTTCCCTTCGCTGCTGGTAATATCAGGCGGGATGGAGGAAAACTGCACCAACGAGGTCGAAGTTCATGCGAGGGTTTTTCAGGAGCCGTAGCGGCCGCAGGAACACTAACAACAAAAGTCACGGACACAAAGGTTATAGCAAGAACAATACAACACCACTGGTTGTCTATGGACAAAAAAAGAAATCAAAATCGGGTTCTTCCCTGTCCTTTCCACGTGTTGAGCAAATATTTTCAGCACACCGACTTCCGTTCCCCACGGGCAAGGCCGAAACGTTCCTCCGTAGGGGCTTCATTCCCATCTACCAACCGGTTCGACCAAACACAAGGGAGCCCGGCTCTCCAAACTAGTCTTGACGTTCCGCAGACAACGGGTATTCTCACGTGGGCCCGGTCTATTTGCTGCTCGTGGTTGAAGACCCGGGTGACGATCACGTTCTCGAGGGTCTCGGTGGGGTCGAGCCCGAAACGATCCGCGATGGCCTCCACGCGTTCCGGCCGGAAGTTCCCCTCCGTGTCCATATAAACAACCTGGTGTTCGTCATGGGAAAAACAGTGAAACCGGTTGTCACGGCGTTGTTCATTCTGTTGCTGTCGGAGGTATTTGTCCAGTTGAGGGAAACGAGCGGGGAGATCCTTCGAAATCAATCCATCCGCAGGCCCCCCTGCTCCGTGTCCCTAAACGAAGGCGACGCGCTCGAATAATCGGCTTGGTGTGGGCTGCCGGGCGGCATGTCGCGTGGTTTCGAGAACATGCGTCAAAATTGTTGGTCGTTGGCACCCACCAGGCTTATTTTCTAGGCGGCTGTTTCGAGGGAGACGACAACCAGGTTTCACACAGGACACTTCGAATTCGATATCCTATGTCCCTTCTTTCGAGCCGGAAAAGTTCGGCGTTAGTTGCGCGGTTAATCTTCCTTCGTGTCTTATCGTTGTTTGTATTTTTACGGGGCAAATCGGTCCCTTCTACTGAATACATATGATGCAAACGATATCCTCTGACGGTCCGTGATCAGCAAAGGATACAGTTTTCCTTGGTCTGGGGGCCACCTCAATAAGAGGCACAGCCAAAAGTATTACTTAGTGTAACATCTCTCTGTAATCAACCTTCACGACCTTGGGTGGACTGAGGTACTTATGGAGGGTCAACGTTGCCCCTGATGGTGCAGCGCTGGTAGAATACAGTTCAAGCAAAGCGGACTGAGTGGGGGACGTTTTCGGCGTTTGAAAAGAGAGTCCAGAAACCGAAAAACTCGAAATGGTCGAAACCGAAGGCCTCACCCTGCCGCGATTTCCTCACCGAAGAGTGGGGAACGCGTGGAAAGCATGAAGCTGTGGGTGCAGTGTGCAGGCGAAACCCGGCACACTCTTTGCCAATGTCGGCTTCGTCCAAAACGCAGGCGTTCTTACAGATTTCAACATGAGAAGCAACGACCAGTAGGGAGACAGGTTCTTTGTCGAACCAGGTTTCGTCGACAAAAATCATTTGAAGCTTGTGAGGATCGCGTTACAACACACGCGTGCTTGAACGTGGGGCCAGATGTTTCAAGTACTCCCATCCCCATCGGCTTTGGTTTGGTCCAGCGTGTGACGACCACGACCAAAGCATTGCCTCGACGAGCTCACCTACAACATTGCCGCTACAACCACCACCATCACCACCGCCGGCGACAAAACAGAAATAAAACTCTTGCATGCAGACGTTGCACGCCCTTCCTTGGCCTTACCCTGCCCTCCGCTCCGCCCGACTCCCTGCTGAGCTGCGATGTGACACACAGGGTGTGGCAGAGCTGGGTCTTGCCGGATCTGAACTCCCCGAAGAACTCCGTGATAGAGCCGGTCTCGATGCCGCCGCCCAGGAGAGCGTCCAGCTGCTTCGAACCGGTGTGCACCTGCTCCCCGGAGTCGGGAACGAGGGGGGGATGGGGTAGAAGTCAACGATATGGAGTCGGTGGGGGGTGGACAGAGGAAGCGTACTCGCTCGGATTGATTGCCAAGTTGTCGCTGGAACTTTGGCGACGCGGTTCTTGAGGGAGGATCGGCGCTCATGTATTCATCTATGGAGACACTAGCAACCGCCAGCCGGGCGCTGTTAGCCTTTCCGGCACTTTCAAAATTTCTTTCTTGCCTTATTCCGTCCAAAATAAGCACCACCTCAGAATATGGTAATCCTCATGCGGTACAGCACGTTCTATTGAACTTGCAGTACACGATTAGGACCGCAAAACTCTGCAGTAAACCAGAACGAAATGGAAATCTCAGTGCTCGGTTGAGAATCAGAGTGGGCGATGGAATTGCAATCAGTCCCAAGGGCGTTGCCGTGCAGATTTCAAGCAAAGATCATTCAGAGAACGCGTGGCACGTCAGTCCAGCCTGTACTATCGAAATGGCAAGACCGGGCTCGTGCACCACCCGCACACGGTGCACCGACGTCAAGCATGGATTCGCTCCCATTCCTTCAACGTCTAACCTCGACTTGGCATTTGGCCATTCTACAGTACGTCTGGAACTGACGAAGCGTCTGACGTAGTCTTTGCCGGAAGGAAAATCACTCCAAGAGCGACAATGAACGACAATACAACGAGCGATCTTGCTACTTTGCATTGAAATCTGTTCAACGTTGCTCGTCATGTGGTGATGATGGAAAGCATTGGGACCACAATGTAGACTTGGACCTCCGAAGGAATTCGTCCCTTTGACCGAGGTTAGCCTGTTCATCTGAAATGCCGAGAATGATGCTGGGAGCCAGTGTTGGACGCGACACAGTACGGCTACCCGAGCGACAGGCGCGTTGAACGTTTACCTTGTTCTGGTTTCCCCAAATCATGTTGACCACAAGTGATGCTGGTACCGGAATTCAATGATCCGATTTGAATGTTTGGCAGACAGAGTGAATATCCCAATAAGGCTAACCTGATGCACCATGTATTGCTTAGGCATTGTATCCTCAACAGACACCCGAAACGCCCATCCTTGGGGTTTCATGCCATCCGCTTGGAGCTGCGTTGGAAATGGAAGTTGATCATGACGCAATACTATTCTTCGAGTGCGGAAAATTCATTCTTTCTTTGTATCCTTTTCTTCGTTGCCCTTGACCGAGTCTAGCACGAAGGTATCGAGAAATAAAATCATGGGCATTGACTTCCACACTTGTTCGAAGTTGGTAGAATCCCATCTCCTTCTGAACATGCAGCAGACATCGGAGAGATTGCCTAAGCATTGTTTGAACTTGTCACCTTGATAACTTTCTCTCGGGCTTGCCGGCACTGAAGGCCCGTCTTGAACATGCCCGACGAACCTGACGTGTCCACCTTCGCCGCGGCAAGCTGGATCTTGGCGACAGTGGCATCGCTAAAGCCCCGGATAGTCAGCAGGGACTGGAAAAAGCAGACAGTTACAAACCGTCAGGTAGAACGCAAGTTGTGACGGCAGAGTTGCGCGAGATCCACACATGCATGTACGAAAAGGGATTGATTGATAATTCGAGATGTATCTACTGTACGATTGCGTATCGACATGACCACAGGGAAAGGCGCACTGCAGGAGAATGATAATGAGTAGAAACAGCTGGTTACCACACGTCAACACTGTGAATGCAGTACATACGCTCGTTGGGTATTCAGAGTGACGGGACAACGCTGCTGCTATGCTGTACAACGGAGGCGCAGAAAAGAGAGAAGCCTGGGGCACACCGAGAGCCCGAAAATTAACGCGCCTTGGTTGGGGTGGCGAGGACGGCCCCGACGGTGGCAAGGTTGGCTTCCTTGAGCTTGTTGATCTCGGCCATCTTGATGCCTGCGTTGGTCAGTTCTTCCACACACTGGGTTGATTGGAATGAAATACCCGATGTCGAAGTGGATAGCGGCGCACAGTCGAGAAGCGCGACGAGGGACAGTCAGCCGAATAGTTGGGCTGGCTTTCATCTTGTGGTTCACACAGACATGCTAACCCTCTGTGCTAGAGAAGCGTTCGTTTCACCGGCTGGGTAATATTTCGCCGCCGCCTTTCGTGCTCATGAAAAAAGTGAAAACCGTTAAAAAATAAGTACGGAGAAATTTCTGAACCTCACGAGGACATTGTGCTCGGGTATCAACTTGTTGAATTTTTAAACAAGTAACACCAAGAAACAGCGTGGACTTCACTCACTATACAACCATGGGTATGTAGTTCGACGGCGTACTGTTGTCCCTGATTCTCTCGACGGCGTGTCTGGAGTACTGTAGCTCATGCGCTCTGCGATCAATGTTACGGGAATAACAGCGGCAAATCGGTCAAGAGATGTATCTAGGCAGCAGTTCCGCTACCGGTACACGCGGCGCAGCCCAAGGGAACAGTTTCGGACAAAATTCAAGAACGCGGTAGTAACTCACTTCGTATTCTATATTTCGGGCCGAGGGTTGACGGATCAGTCGTCTTTGATCCTCCTCTGCCTACCTGGAAGCTGTCAACATCGTCGAACTCCTGGTTGTCATTCTGCTGCTGCTGCTGCTGGTCGCTGTCTCCACGAGACGCCTGGGCGGAAGCCATTTTATCCTGTCACTGGCTGGGCCTGTGTGCGTTAGTAGAAACAACTCTCTTCATGTACGCACAAGGTTGTCATTTCTATCGTCGCGTTATTTTCATGTTCTGTAGCACGCAGGTGGGATTATTCCAGTCTACCCGGCTGGTCGGTTGTGAATGATGTGTGTGAGTTGCGAGAGAGAACAGCGTGGAGCGTGGTGCGAGCGTGGAAAATAATTTATTCATCGACGCTCGTTTGGGTATGAACCCCATGACAGGGAGGGATGTCATCGAATGAAAGCCGAGAGGAATTCAGGCAGCAAGATGTAGTATGCCCTTGGGGAGAACGCCGCTCCCCGTTAGTTACAGAAGGTCGAAGCTTCCTAGGCGCGGTGTTCGTCGGACAACACTTCGATGAACAGGCGATCAGAAATGAAGAACGCGTAGAACACTGGAAGACGCTTCGTGTGCCTTGGGTGGGAACGCCGAAATGAAATGTGAGTAATGTCCTGCCAACGAAAGATGAATCACAACAACGCCCTCGAAATATTTTTCAAAAACACGCCGCGCTGTCTTTCTGGAGAGCGAGACGGATCAAGATTTTGCGCGCGAGATGCAAATGAGGTGCATCTAAGCGCGGACACGTCGACCTGATCTCCTACTTCATTGCGAAGCAATGAAATCTGTGTGGGTTCGCCCTCTTGCTCCCTTGCTTGCCCGTTTCCATCGCTTGGACTATGTACTGCTTTAGAGAGACAGAGGCTCTCCAAACGCATAATCAACAGACCAAAATATGCGATGTGCGAGAGAGACGAGTGCCCGCGCTCTACAAGAATAGAGAGGATGCTGCCGGAGACGGAGGGGCACGACAACTCACGTTTGAGGTGTGAAACGTCGCTGGTGATTGCTGGCTGGGTGTGTGACGAATGCTCGCTGGGCGTGTGGCAATGGAATGAGTTTGTGTGCACGGTGGTGTGAGGAGTTTTTTTTTTCTTTTCGAACTTTTTTTCTGCGAACGCCGCTCTTCTTATTGGAACTCCCGAATTAGGCCGAAATTGCGGGAGCTGCTCCTCTCGCGCGCGGTACGCGAGGCAGACTGAAAGAGGAGACACCAGCCTTAGCTGAAGGCGACGCGGGTGCTCCTGTTGATTCTCTTGGAGTTGCTAGTGCTGCCTTGAATACACTAAATCCGATGGCGTTTGAGGACGCCGCGGCTGGTAAGGGTGGTGATGTAGATCTCGACCATGAGGCAACAACGGCAGCAGCAGGTTCAAGCGATGACGACATATACGCCAAGGCAACCGCCGGGGGGATCGGCCCCACGGGCACCTTCCGATGTGTCAGCTGCGCTGATGAGATGGTGAGATCCGTGTCGCGGCAGGTGGTGCCAGGCGTAGTGCGGTGTGTTGGCATGAAGTTTGAAATCGACAACCACGGACATCGCAAACCTTCAACCATAACTGCTGCTCGTCTCTCGGCTTTGGAAGTGTACTTGTAGACTCCTGGTGGCGTACCCCCCCTGCGGTGCACTCAAGTGCACTGGATCGGCATGACATACAGAGAGTTAGGCCTGGGAGATGAATCAACCTGTGCAGCCTCTCTGTTCGCAACGAGTAGGTGGGTATTGGAGTATCACACCGCATGCTGTCCTTGAATTTTTGCCGCCGTCACCTCTGAACACAACAGGGCCCCAACTGCCAACGGATCCCACACCAAAAACAAATGGTACGGCACATCATGGCGGTGTAGATTTGCGAGGCGCTCTGGCACTCCCGCTGTTCACTGCTGTGGCTGCGGCCAACTATCACAGCTGCAGCAGTAGTTGTCCCTCTCCTCTGCTGCGGTCAGGGTCAATTCGTTGTTTTACGGGCCCAAGCAAATGATCCACGGAACGAATTTGATGCCCAACTGACACCTGACACACATATGCCTTGGTCCTGACCACCAGAACGAAGGAACACGGAACAAGCAGTCGCAAATATATTCCGCGTTCCGCCGTATGCATAGCATTCGTATCTGTGTATAAAATCCCTCTTGGTTCGCCAGAACATAGGTTGCCTTTATTGAAGCTCTTCATTCAACCCGCAGTGATTCTACTCTTTTGCGTGGGTGTCGCATTCTGCTGCTGTCGTTTTGTCGGCGATGGAATCAAAGCCCGCTGCGTACTTGTAAATACTGCTGTTTGGTGTAGTTTTTCCGGTCCCACCCCACCGCAAACACCAGGGTACCACCGTATACTTCGAGTACGACACAAGATAGCACACACCCCGGACCGACTTTCAAAGCATGATTACGCCAGGACGTAGAACATGCCTCAACGAAGTGATACAATTACGGAAAGCTCTCGACAAGACGGCTTCAGCGACGCCGTTTTCGGCCCTGTTACTCTCTTTGCTGTCGAGAAATCGAGCTTTGACAATCTTTCTAGGGGGTGTGTTGTCTTGTGTCGTATACACCCGTCGGCAAGGGTGTTAGTCCCCACGCCAAGCCATCAAACTTGTATCCAGGTTGGTAGTATTTTGTTTTGCACCCACGACCGTTTTCTAACTTTTCAGGAGCATTTTATCTGTTCCTTTCATTGTAGGGTACTTTCCAAACGTTCCAAAGCCCGTGTTTGCGTCACCTTCTCCGCGTGACTCAAGTAGCCTGAGCCTGAAGACGCGGGCGATGAGTCTTCTCTCCTTCGCAAGCTACGACGCATAACGTACGGCTGGCTGAGCGCGTGTGGGTACAGCAGTTGTCCGACGTTTTTATGTTTTTGTGGTTATCGACCAAACGTCCGACGAAGTACACACCCTTCCAAACATCGAGTAGCCCGGTCGTCCCCCCGACCTCTCTTGCCGGCCAGGACAAGACCTTTAGTCCGCCCTTGGTGCATTTTTTTGCCACGGGACGAGCGTTTAGACTAAAGGGAAGGGCAATTTGGTCCCTCTCACATGAAAGGCGTGGGGTTCGACCCGAAGCATCGTTCCACAAACACGGGTGTCCAGAGCCTCCTGCAGCGATTGTAAACACGGGTGTATTCGTCAGCTACTCCCGGTTTCCACGGATGTGCGACTCTCGGGCGTGCCGCTACCGCCGCGTGCCATCCATTGCTTCACACGCGGGGCATGACAGTGACAGTTTTTTTTTTTTTTCGGGATCGTGCTCGCAGTTTTGGATGTTTCTGTGTTTTCTATTGCTGTATTGACGTTCCACAGACGCGTATCCAAGTACTTGTAGAAGAGGCCGGAAGCCACGCTCTGTGTTGCTCGTGTTTCCTTGTATGTCTGTTGCTGACTCCAATGTTCTCCGTCCCGAGTATAATGTCAACACGCAAGAGTCATCCCAAAAGGAATTGATGTGCTCGTGTGGTCCTGAACGGCTGGTACCATTTTCAGTTACTTCTTATCTACATGTTGTAGTCCTGTGGTGTCCCGGCTTCACAGCGGAGTACAACCTCCTAATATATCGTTTCACACCTGCTGACTTAAGCAGCGCATTTTTTCGTTCACTCTCCGAGTGTTACGACGGGCTAACTTACGGTTTTTGGCTTTTTTCTGCCTTAACTCCCTGACTTCATCGATCGCTGGATTTCCCAGCAACGGAAATACCAAATCGTGGGAGCCACCCTTGTTCGATTTGTTTGTGTTAAATACTTTCGGGGTTATTGCAATGCGACGCTGGACATTTGGCCACTAGAATAGGGTCTGCTCAAGGTTAACAAGATATTTCCCGCAAAAACTGGAATACTATAACTCGTCGACTGGAATCGTGGTGCCGTTTCTCTGTCTCTGCCTTTCTCTGTCTCTCGCTGTCTCTGCCTCTTTCTCTGAACTCTCGCTCTCTGTCTTTGTCTGGGTCTCTGTCTTTGTCTCTGCCTTTTTCTGTCTCTCTCTCTCTCTCTCTCTTTGTCTCACAGAACCCTTCCTGGCGGAATAGCATGGAGGACGCCCACGAGACAGTGGCGCACTTCGACGGCGACCCGTCCACGTCGTTCTTCGCCGTGTACGATGGACATGGAGGTACCCAACATTCGCCCACCCCTTGCGCGGCGCCCAAAGGCTCTCGTTTTGCTGTGCCGACTTGGTTTATTTTTGGTTTTGATTCCGTAAAAGTTTGGCTGCGGCTTGTGGATCGTTCCGGCGATTCCGCCCCCGTTATGCCAAGGAAGCACTGGACGGCGAGGTTTCCTGCACAGATGGCCTAGAGTATAATGCCGAAGCAGCAACAGAGACTAATCCGGCGCAATCATTTACGTTCCACGCGGGATGCTTTGATTCGGGATCGACGTTACGTCGGCGTCTCGAAATCCAACGCCGACGCGGGGGGACCATGGCCATGGTTCTTACCCCGCCGAGTATATATCTTGTGCCTTCGCTGTCATGACCATTATTCTGATATTCGTGTACAAGAATATCGTAGTTCGTTCCGAGCCGACGTGTTTCGGGTGTTGCGAAATGCGTTGGGTTCCGTGGGGCTCCGGCCGCGTGTAGTGAAACACCTCAACTATTCTTGATTGGCCGTCGCCGCTCGGCCTTGAAGGAGAGGACAGCACGTGGAACCTCGAACATACACAATTGAAATTGACAAGGCCTTGAGGACAGGATCGTTTGCCAGGGACGGGGCATGACTTTTGCTTTCATGTTTCGTTTAGTAACACCCTCTGTTGTTGCGTGCAATCATGCGTGTGTGTGTTGTTTGCGCCACATGTTGCTGCCCGCGCGTGGGGCTGCTGCTGCTGCTGCTGCTGCTGGTGCAGGTCGGGGCACGGTTGATTTCGTGTCGTCGCGGCTGGAGGAGATCCTTGCCGAGGAGATGAGAGCCGACAACACCAGCTCCATCCAAGAAAGAATCACGAGGTATCCTAGCGAGAGCTTAGTCGTGTCACCTCCGTGCTGGTGACGAGAGCGTCGTTTGTTCCGCAACCCCCTTGCTCTCGTTGTGGCTCCCCTGTTCCTTAGGCGTCCGCATTTTTTGTTGCTTTTTGGAGAATTTGGCGAAGGTGGTGTGGATGCTCTGTATATGCTATTCCGTCCGTTAGTTGCCGCCCTCCACACAGGATCCTCGTTGAATCCCCACCCCATCGCAAGCAAGCTAGTTGTGTGACCTGGTCAATCGAGTGTGCTTCTTCACGCCCCCGCGGTTCCTGGGACGAGGCTCGCGCGTCGTGTTGCTCTTGCTGAGTTATATCTCCACCATGATGCGCACTGGGTGCGCTCGATGCAACGACAAACTGGTCGGCGATAACCCCAAAACTCTCTCCTTCCGTACTTTGTAGGGTGTGGGGGTCTAACGCCTGAACGCCACGGTCTTTTCAAATGATTAGGGCACCCAGCCCCACCATACAACGCCAAGTACGGCGGAGATGAAACAGATTGTTCCCGGAACGTTCCTCAAGATGGCTCTGGTCCGTGTCGAAAGGCATGCGCTGTCAATGTTCGGCTGGGTTGAGGCATACCAGCATTCGAGTAACCTGCTTGAGCCCGCCGGCACCGCCCCGCCCCTCCCGTTTGCGCTTCGAAAATTCCGTGCCGTGGTCCACAGGGCGTACGGCCTGACGGATTGCTTGTGTAAGGAGGCGTCCGTGCTGACGTCTGGGGCGACAGCCGTCACATGCCTACTCAGGGTGCGTATCGTGTGGGGGCATAAATCACGGAAGCAAGGCACCATACTGCCAAAGCAGGACTCAACCCACAATCCTATTGCGTGTTATTGTGTCACCCTTGTATTGGTTCCCTATCGTCTCGTACTTCTCGCTCGTGACGAGGGGGTTGGTTGGCTAGAACGGAGAGTTTCACAGCAAAGTGAATAAGCCTGCTAACCGTGGCCGTTGGAGTGCCGCGCTAAGGTGGCAGGTGTGGCAGTGTAGGTATACCCCCGACCGGCTTGCCGGTGTCAGTCTTTTTTGTTGTCTTTGTCCCGGCAAGAAGTCATGCATTAGGATGGTCTGTGCAGTAGCATGGCAACCTTTTGCTCGAACGTCGCCACCTTTGACGTCCTTGTGTTTTCGTTCCTTGGTCGTTTTGATTGTCAGGAGCAAGACGGGAAGGTCACAATACACGCGGCCAACATCGGGGATAGGTGAGTTTTGAGTGAGAGTTTCGAGGTTTTTATGACATGCCTTGCTTACCTCACGCAACGTTAAGATTGTCCCAGCCCACTCTACCTGGCCGATATTTTTTTCCGCCGCGGGGTCAACGCGGGGTGCACAACCGGATGAGTCGGCATGCGGAGTGTTTAGCCAGGAGCTTCTGTCTTCCTCCCTCACACTATATCCCCCCCCCCCCCCCCCCCCCCCCCCCCCCCCCCCCCCCCCCCCCCCCCCC